CATGTCTGGATGCCCAGTCTTTATGTTGTGGGACGTTGCCGAAGATACTCTCATTCTGTACATACCCTTCTAAAAGAGACGTAGACAGCAATTCTTTCTTTCTTTCTTTTAAACCAAAACATTTTTATGACTATGGCATAGGTACAATGCTATACTTAAATACATTTTGCGCTGTCTGCCATAGAAGGACATATTTGTTTGACTAAAAGTTTGCCTGGCTCGAATCCCAATGAATCTTCCTCAGCTCAATCACAGAATTCATTTGAATTTCGGAGTGTTTGTGGTTAATGTTTTTTTTTTTTTTTTTTATTCATCCAATTATTTTAAGTGTATGCTTTACTGAAAGGAGACCATTCCATTCTCTGCAGGACGCCCAAACTCTTGGGCCGTGTGTAATCACTTCAAAGCCCTACGTCTTGTTTCCAATCCTGAAGATTTTACACATGAACATCATCTTCCTAACGCTCAGATTGTCTGGGCCTGAAATCTGTTTGTGTGTCTGTCTGACATAGTGTAAGTCAACAGAGAGGAATACACGGAACAGCTGGATTGGGGAAAGAAATGGAAGGTGTCATTGTTACACATCAAGTAATGAGCAACTAATTTAAAGCCGAAGTTAGTTGTATGTTATCCGTTCCTAAAATTCCTTTCAGGCAGACATACATTTACTAAGCAGAGATCTGTGGTGGGTTGACCGTAAGATGTTCACCAAAAAGCCAGTTTGAAAAAGTGGACAATGTTGAACTTTGGTGTAAATGTTTACATTCAATTTGTCATTTCACAACTGCTCAAATTTTAAAGTTCAGTTAATATATGTACTTGTGAATATATACTTGCACTACACATGTACACAAGTCTATATTACAAATTTGCAACATCAGACCACGGATTTGCTTTTCTAAATAAAAAAAGGTTTGCATAGAGATGTCAAGCCCCTGGTACTACCATGTCCCCAAAGAGTTTCTGCCATTATGTTTCCTTGTTTTAGATGCAAAAGGGACCAAACCCACAATGGTGGCCCTGTGCTATGCAGTAAGCCAATCTTCTATTAAAATAACTCAGACTACTATGTGAGGAAAAAAACCGAATTAACATTCTGGAACTGCTCACCTATAGATGTGTTTCATTTTCCATATAGCCTAATTGACATTCTGGAGAGAAAACTGTTATTGAAACTGAGCTTTTCCCTGTACAGGAAACTTTCTCTAAAGTCCAGCTCACTCTTCACTCGTCTTTCTGATAATACCTGGAGGTATCGGGTACGATCAAAGGGGAAAAGAGAAGTTTAAAGGACCACCTGAAGTCAGTCTTATTACCTTGACTAGAAAAAGGAATCATCTGAGTGTTCACTAATTCCAGTCTTGTGTAGATACATCTTCCAATTTTCAGAGAAGATAAAGGCTCAGCAGGTGCACATTAGGCACTCCCCATGAGAAAGCATTGCTTTCTATGAGGATTTTACTGATGCTGGATGTCCTTATGCAGAGTGTGAGGACGTTCAGCATCATTTGGGAATCTGGAGTCCGTCAGCATCCAGGAAGTGCCTTTAGTGACTGTCTAATTGGCAGCCACTAGAGGCAGTCTTACTAGTGCCATGCAATTACTGCAGTTTTTCAAAAACTGCAATGATTTAGATTGCATGACTAAGGGGTACAGTGGTACTGCACCCAGACCACTACCATGAGATAAAGTGGTCTGGGTGACTATAGTGTCTCTTTAAATAGGCACTGTAAGCACTACAACCATTTCACCTCATTGAATTGTTTATAGTCCCCTGCCACTCTCTCTTGTTCAGTGTTAAAGAGATATTCCAAGTACTAAAACATCTTTAAAGGACCACTCTAGGCACCAAGACCACTTCAGCTTAATGAAGTGGTCTGGGTGCCAGGTCCAGCTAGGGTTAACTCATTTTTTTTATAAACATAGCAGTTTCAGAGAAACTGCTATGTTTATGATGGGTTAAGCCTTCCCCCATTCCCTCTAGCGGCTGTCTCATTGACAGCCGCTAGAGGCGCTTGCGTGCTTCTCACTGTGATTTTCTGTGATCCTCCTTTCTGTGATTTTCTGTGATCCTCCTTCTCTCCTCCCCGTGCGCATTCAGCCGACGGGGAGGAGAGAAGGAGGATCGGAGGAGGAGAGCTCCCCGCCCAGCGCTGGAAAAAGGTAAGTTTTTCCCCCTTTCCCCCTTCCAGAGCCGGGCGCGAGGGGGTCCCTGAGGGTGGGGGCACCCTCAGGGCACTATAGTGCGAGGAAAACAAGTATGTTTTCCTGGCACTATAGTGGTCCTTTAACTCAACAAAGCAGCTTTGGTGTATATATCATGGTCCTGCAGTCTCACTGCTCAGTTCTATTCCATTTAGGAGTTAAATCATTTTTACTTCTCTTTATGCAACCCTAGGAATATCTCTCCTGACTGTGACACAGCCTCAAAAATAACTGGTTTAATTTCCAATCAGATGTAAACTTGATTTAGAACTTTTTACCTCCTGCTCAGTAAATTGAACTTTAACGACACACAAAAATACCAGCAGTCTCTAGCAATCTATTAACAGAGCAAGAGATAAGAAATTCTAGATTAAGCAGACTGTGAAAAAGGGAAGTGTAAACATTAGATTTCTATTTAGGGGCAGTATTTAGGAAGGCTGTGTAAGTCACATGCAGAGAGGTGTGGCTACGGCTGTATAAACAATGTGGTTTAAAATGGTAGAGAATTGAACAGTGATACTTGCCCCAAGAGCCAGATATATGGCTCCCACTCCATGTTTATATACTCCCTTGCACTGCTGATCTCAGGAAATACATTGATTGTTATTGTGTGAATGTATGAGTGAATGTAGTTTGAAGAATTGCAGCTTATTGATACAGTCCTATAATATTTAGAAATGAAAACAGAATTTAACGACTTCTTAAATGAAATTTTTAACCTTAGAGTATAACACAAATTAGCCCAAGCACCACATAGGGGACAGGCTGCTGGGGACTCACATTTAGCATTAAAACATTAAAAATGCTTTGATGCTAAATGGAAGGACAGAGTCCTGGGGCTCCAGGCACTATAACCACTTCAAAGAAATGACGTTATGGCACCTACAGTGTCCCTCTAAGTGTATCCCAGGAACTCTTGAACTCTCAAGAACACTTGGAATGTGGTTATCATAATAACTAACTCAATTATTTCTTTGCCACCTCTACTGAAAGTCTGTTCTATGGATGAAGCCCTCTTTTATAAAGTAGTGCTTACATCCCTGAACCTGTTACTCTCCAACTTTTGTAGATGGTGTTTAATGTCTTTGTTAAATTATGTAGAACATACTTTTAGAATAAAATTGAATTATGCGACTTTGAGAGCAATATTTTCAATGGCAACGCTTGCCATAATGAACTACTTATTATTAATGACATTTATTCACACATTGGCTAGCCCTCTGTTTGATTAAACAATATTAATTTTGGAAGTGACGTAAGTCCTTATCTACATTACATTCAAAAGCCTGCCTCTACTGTTATTAAATGAAAAGCATTTTCTAATAACGTATTGCACAGATAAAAGAATTGCTTATCTTACGATTATTTTTGGATTTGAATTTGAACCTGATGCATTTATGTCTTATCTCAATCTGAATTTCATCCTTACTGTTGGTGAATGATTTTTTTCATGCAGAAGTAAACATTATATATGACAGCGCCGCCTTCCTTCCTTCAAAGGGATACAATTAAAAACAAACAGTTATCGCCAAAAAGACATACCACCCACTAATTTCACATTAAAGTGCTGTTTAGTCTGTCGATTTACTAAACCTTCAATAATTAAAGAGGAATTCTGAGTGTTTGGCTCTATGGAATATTACTTAGGAGTAATCTGTCTAAACAAAAACACTATATTTTATGAAATGTTGTGGGGGTTTTTAGTCATCCAGTGGAAAAAAAATATAGTAAGAACTCATGATATTGAAGAAGGGATTGTTTTTTTTCTGATCACTTGGACCTATAAATTGTTTCAAACAGTACCTTATGATATTTTTGATTTTATACTCTGATGCAGCTTCACATATTTTAAATTAATGTGTCTATCAGAATAATTTACTGCATGTAACTCTGCGCAATTTCCTGTAACTGTATTAATAAAACATAATGATAATAATAAAAGCTGAGACCTTGAAGAACATGCAGATCATTCTAATACCCAAATAGTCAATGTGTAAGTTCATGGAGTCATCAAAGTCTTTAAGGTTGTAATTCATGGCCGTAAGAATCCAAACAGACCTATTTATATAGCAGGTAGGAAATCTGGACCTATGATTATTTTTATTTCCCATGCATCATATTAATGACAAAATGCACCTTTACTGACGACATATATATAATTCTACTGGAACACTCTGATCTGGTATTCAGTCCCGATTATATGAAAGTGAAATGCTTTGCACATTTAGTTTTTGAAAGTGCTGTGCAGATCCCCAGTCGTTAAAAGCGTGGGTTTCTTCCATTTTGGAAAGGGATTCTTAAAGTAGTTACTTTAAGGATCTTTCGCTTTGCATGTTTTGCTCTCAAATTACAGTTCGTTTGTTTTTGTTCACTTATTACACGTTGTTTGTTTGTTTTAAATTTACCTTAGTTTTATACATTGAGAAAAAATTGGGTGCAATTTTTCTTGTAGGGAGCACAATCTGAAGTAATTTTTCGCAACGGATAGAGCTTAAACAAAACTCAATTTCAGTTGTTAACCTAATTTACCCATAGTCCATCAGCAAAAGAATGTCAACAAAGGGCAAACTGCAGACATCTTGTATACAGGGGAACAAAATGGAGGCACCAAAAATTGTGATCCAGTGCACAAAAGGAAAAATAACAAAACATCAATAAAGACAAAGGGCTTGGTGGAAGTATTATAAATAGTGATGTCCCGAACTGTTTGCCGAACGGTTCGCGAACGGTTCGCCACGAACTGTTCGCTGCAGACTCATCATTGAGTAAACTTTGACCCTGTACCTCACAGTCAGCAGACACATTCCAGCCAATCAGCAGCAGACCCTCCCTCCCAGACCCTCCCACCTCCTGGACAGCTCACTAAGAATGCAGCTTGAAATGAATTAAGTGATGCTGTCCAGGAGGTGGGAGGGTCTGGGAGGGAGGGTCTGCTGCTGATTGGCTGGAATGTGTCTGCTGACTGTGAGGTACAGGGTCAAAGTTTACTCAATGATGAATCCGCGGCAAACCGTTCGGCGAACAGTTCGGCGAACAGTTCGGGACATCACTAATTATAAGTAAGGTACAGGAAAACTGACAATGCCACTTTAAAGTAGAAATTATTTTGTTGGCATACTCCATCATTGGTCATTAAGTGGTTAAGGACTCCAACAGACAGGGCACTTCCTCGTTAAACATCTTTAAGTAAGAAGAATTGGTTGGTGAATCAGATTGACACTTGATTCTGACACCACTTATCTGATGCGCCAATTTGAGCACTGACGTGGTGAGCGATTATGTGCGCAAGAGGTGGTTTAACGTAACCAGAGAGTAAGTCACACTATTGCTCTCGCTGTGTTCAGAATTATTTTTTTTTGTCAGATACTATCGACAGAAAATTTGAGGTTAGTTCACAGTTGCCAGTTGTTTTCAAAAATAACATTCCTTTAGAATCTTGTTACAATCTTGTTCAGCTGGTGTTTGGCGGTAGAAATATATAAGTTTTGTTATCCAGTGATCGTAACTTGCATCGGTTTTAAAAAAAACATGCTGAGATTCGGTATTTGATTTGGTGGTTCTCCATTTTAGTATTAATGTCTATAAATAGCCAGGGAGTAGTCTCACAGGATAGACAATACTGATTTATTATAAAGTAAGACACACAGATTTGTGTAAGAGTTTAGGAGGGAGAGAAAGTTGGGCCCTTAGCTGCCTGTGTATATTGTATCACTATTTTCTGTATTGAGGTTGGTGTGGCAGCTATACTGTGAATGCAGGTATATTTATAAAAAAAAATAAAAAAAATAAAGCAAGGACTGTTTGGATGTATTAGTAAGCATGAAAGAACTCCTAAAAATATTTCAGAATTGCTCGTCCAAAATTGCCCACATTGGCACCAAAAACTGTGCCTAAGAAGTTCCAGTCTTATTGAAAAATCTCCCTTTCAGAATTTGAATCCCACACACAGGGCCGCCATCAGGGCATGACAACCGCAACGGTTGTCATGGGCCCGGCGGTCCTGGGGGGCCCGGACTGCTCAGGTCGTCCGGGCCCCACATTCAGTGGGTACATACCGGGTCGCAGGGGGCCCTGCGACCCGGTATGTACCCACAGGGCCAGCCTCTTCTCCTGGGGGGCCCAGCAGCCGGTCACCTCAGGGCCCCCCCAGAGGCTGGCCCTGCTGACACCCGGCGGGCCGGCGCGCGAGGGAGAACTCTCTGTGTGCTTCCACTTCAGCTCCCTCGCGCACCGTACTGATGCCGGAGCCGGAAGATGACATCATCTTCAGTACGCGGCGCGCGAGGGAGCTGAAGAGGAAGCACACAGAGAGTGCTCCCTCGCGCGCCGGCCTGCCCGCCCGCCGCCAGTGTCAGGGGGGGTAGGAGGAATGAAATTCGAGGGAGGGGGGGTTAGGAATGAAATGAGGGGGGAAGTAGAAGGAATGAAATGGGGGAAGGAATGAAATGGAGGGGGGAAGGGAAGGAATGAAATGGAGGGGAAGGAGAAAGAATGAAATGGGGAAGGAATGAAATGGGGAAGGGAAGGAATGAAATGGGAGGGGGAAGGGGAAGGAATGAAATGGGAGGGAAGGGAAGGAAATGAAATGGAGGAAAAGGAAGGAATGAAATGGGAGGGGAAGGAAGGAATTAAATGGGAGGGAGGAAGCTGAAATGAAATGGAGGGGGGAAGGGAAGGAATGAAATGGGGGGGGAGAAGGAATGAAACGGGAGGGGGGAAGGAGAAGGAATGAAATTGAGGCTTAGGGAGGGAAATTTGAAGGGGGGAGGAAGGAAGGAAATGGGGGGGGAAAGAAATGAAATTTGAGGGAGGGGTGGAGGAATGAAATTTGAGGGGGGAGAGGAATGGAATTTGAGGGAGGAGAGGAAGGAAATTTGAGGCAGGGAGAGAGGAAGGAAATTTGAGGCAGGGAGAGAGGAAGGAAATTTGAGGGAGGGAGAGAGGAAGGAAATTTGAGGACGAGGGAGAGGAAGGAAATTCGAGGGACGGGGGGAGAGGAAGGAAATTTGAGAGACGGGGAGAGGAAGGAAATGAGAGGGAGGAGGAGAAGAAGGAAATTGGAGGGGGGAAGAAGGAAATTGGAGAGGGAGGGGGAGAAGAAGGAAATTGGAGGGAGAGGGGGGAGAAGGAAATTGACGGGGGGGGAGGGGGAGAGATTGACATCCATCACACACAATGCATTACACACAGATACACGTACACAAGCAATGCATCCCTTACACACAGCAACACACAATGCACCCCTTACACACACTCAATGCATCCCTTACAGACGCACACACTGCATCCCATACATACACAACTCATCTTGCAGCCCTTACACATACAAACACAGATTCACACAATGCATTCCTTACACACATCAGGACATCCCCCACACACACACTCCACCCCCTGTAAACAAACTCATTGGTGGAACATGAAGGTGGACCCTGGGACCCAGACCTTGAGCTGTGTAAAGGGCCCTCAAAAAATGGAGCTGCTTCCCGTTCTCCCAGAACAGTGATTTTTGTGACCACAGTTACAAACCGCCTCCAGAGAGCCTGTTGTACACCAGACCAGTGGAGCCAGACGGCAGCTAGAGCCCATCATCATCATCCTCATCTGGTTGTAAGTAGGCAATCTAGTATATTATTCGTTGCACTAATCTCTAATTTACCTCACATTAAAGGGACACTATAGTCCCCAGAACCACTGCAGCTTAATGTAGTGGTTCTGGTGTCTAGCCTGTCCCTGCAGGCCTTTTAATGTAAACACGGCGGCACTGCAGCACTGGTGTTAGTTAACATGGCAGATCACATGGGTGGGGCATTGTGATGTCACATGGGGGGCGGCATGGTTTAGAGGGCCTGGTGTTGGCGTTAAACATACGTATGTCAGCGCCGGACTGGGAGAAAAATTCGGCCCGGGCATTTTTTTATTACAGCGGCCCACTAAGAAGGGGGCGGGGCAGAGAGGGTGTGTTTCGTCATCACCAATGACAAACACGCCCCCTCTCAAAGTGAGCATGTTGGTTCAATGCTCTTCCAGGGCAGACCATGCGCCGAACTCTGCTGAAGAGCTCTAGCATGAGAAAAAAAGCCCTGTATTTGTTCTGCACAGTGCAAGCAAATTTAATAACATGCTTGCACTCTGTTTCCTTGCAACTTGCCTCTGGTGTCTCTATAAATGGATTCATGGAGACAAAAGGGCCGGGGAAGGGTACTGTGCATGTGTTTGGAGCTGGCTTGTGGGATTGCGTGTGTGTAGAGTGAGCTGATTGTGGTGTGTGGTGTCGGTTTTAGTCGTGTTGTGTTTGTGGTGTAATGTGATGCATATATGGCTAGGGGCTGGAGAAAATGTGCGTATAGCGGATGTAGTAAGTGTGTGCACACAGGCTATAGTGTGTGTGTGTGTATATAGGTGATGTAGTGTTTGTAGGGGTTGTAGAGAGTGTGTGTTTCTGGGTGTAGTATGTGTTTGTTTACAATGAATCTAGTGTGTTTATAAGGGATCCAGAGTGTGTATTTTAGGAATGTAGTGTGTGTGCGTGTGTGTAGATGGAGCAGAGTGTGTGTGTATACAGGAGTCTAGTGTGTGTTTGAAGGACCCAGAATGTGTAGGAGATCTAGTGAGTGTGTGTATATAACGGATTCAGAGTGTATAAAGGGATCTAGTGTGCGTATATGATCCAGAGTTGGGTAAGGGATCTAGTGTGTGTCTGGAACGTAATGTGTTTAGAAGTGCAGTATGTGTGTGAGGGGTGCTGTAGTGTATATGTATATATATATAAAACAAGAGGGGGTTGGCTGCACTAACCTTAACATGCATAAATGGGGGTGCTGCTGGAGGCCAAATAATACAATACACAAGATCCAGCGCACTCACCTATCCACTAAACAGCAACTTCAATGTTGAAAGATTTTATTTGTTTTTTTAAAAACACCTAATCTAGGCAAAAATAATGGGGGTTTAGTTACATTATATGATCATACATTGCATAAGCCTGCCACAACGTCAATGTACCCCATCTTTGGCAGGTCCTACACTAACAGCCTAATGTCTGCTCTTATGAGATTAACCTACTTGGGGAAAAAAATTCCATCTGGGGCTCTCTGCAGTACAAGGCTAAATAGGGCCCTGGGATGATTTTTTCCCCCAAGTAGGTTAATCTCATAAGAGCAGACATTAGGCTGTTAGTGTAGGACCTGCCAAAGATGGGGTACATTGACGTTGTGGCAGGCTTATGCCAGTCCGGGCCTGACATATGTTCAAATCAGCTTAGTATGACACTCAACTGTTTCGTACCTTGCATATCACTATTATGTCATTTCATGTCTTATTCATGTTCCTATCTTGTTATCACAAAAAAAAAGTGCAGCATCTCTTGACTACTTATGCCAATTGTTTACTATGATATATTGTATTGAACAAGTCATTGCTTACGCCCTTTACTCTGCACTCAAATATAAAGAATAAAAAAAATATAAATATATGTATGTTGATAAAAACTGTGAAAAACATAACATGTAACATACACTCTCAGAATTGAATGATTTCCCCAGATGCGTCACTCCATGGAATTAAATCCAAGACTATGATGTTGCACGCCAAACTCAGGATGGTCTCACAGAACCCGGGACAGTAGGCAGGTATGTTACCAGGAATTTAACATGAATTCATAGTGAATTTTACATTTTATGTTAAAACAACTGCAGTGTTAATTTCTAAATTTTTCTCAAAAATTTTAGTCGACTAAGATTTGACTAAAATTGTTAGTGGACAGTACTAACACTAAATAGCTGAGTCTTTTGTCCTACAATTTGGAGTTCACTTTAAATTTCAAAAAGTTCACACAATAATGAATAATCGCGTAAATCACAATGATTGTCTCCGTTTTAGCCGACTGCACTCCTATCTCCATTTTGGAAGTCAGAAGACCCTTTACATATGAAGGTATGTGGGGGACGCAGTAATCTA